TATGTGTATATTATATATATATATATATATATATATATATATATTCGACTGTGTTTTGCGCGTTAAAGACTTAAGTTTTGACGTAAGGAATGATGATAGCAAAAAATTAGATATCGAAATAAAAATACGTTACGCTTGTTCTGACGGATTTCTTCGGCTCGGAACAATCTTGCTCGTTTCTCGCGACGTGTCATTTAATGGCTGAGAATCTTCTTGAAGAGATTGAGGATATTTTTGATCGGGATAATTCCACGCTTGTATGTCCGCTGTACCAAATATTTGATAAGCAATATATGTACTGCAAGATACACCCGCAGTTACTGCAAATACTCTTCTCCATGAATCGAGAGATTGCTGTTGAAAACATTGCGTTATTCTATCTTTTAATTTAGTAGAGAATAGAAAAAATAAAAAAAGAAAGATGATATAACACTTACGCTTTCTTGTGTAAGCAGACCAGCTGCTATAGGAGATAGAAAACTAGCGGTCATGTGAATTGTTTGCGCGAACGCTAATACTGGCCCTGAAAATAATATATTAATTTATAAAAATTGGTACTTTTAACAAATAAATATAATCACAAAAATATGATTTTGCTCTAACCAGCAAAATTTGGTGCTATGTCGACGATATTGGCCATTGCGCCCGCATAGCCAGCTGTTATGAGAGTAACAGCTAGGAACCATACGATTAAAACTAGGATAATATCGCAACCTAAGTATCCAATTAAAATTACAAGTATTCCGGGAACTACTTGAGCTATAAGAAAAAAAAATCAATTGTTCAATTTATTTTCTAAGTATAATTAAATTAAGGGAAACGTTAAATGCACTTACACAGCGCGGTAAATATCTTGCGCACAGTTATTAAAGTCATGATTTGTCGCGTAACTAGAAGATCCGCAACATAACAGAACACAACAGAACTTAAGTAGCTACAGATAAATGGTGCACCCGACAGAATGCCATTCTAAACAGATTAATAAATTTATTATTTTAGTTGTATAAAAAAATTGAAGTAATTAAATTTATTAATTTAACTTATTCGAATGATAAATACATACTGCCTGTATACTGAATCCTAATACCGTCTTCATATACATCGGGCCGGGAATGATAAAGACATAGTGCACCCATATTCTTCCGAAGGTTGTAATACCAATAGCCCACGCTGGCCAAGACGTGAGTATAGATTTCCAAGGAACGGGCAAGTCCTTTGAGAAAAAGAGAAAAAAACAGTTATATTAATACGTTTACATATATTAAAAAACATCGTTTAATAGACAAATTAAAATTATCTTACTTCGTTTGCTCCGATAACTTGATTTCTAACACATTCTTGAATATAACGAAGTTCCGGCTTAGAAATTCGAGGATGCAAGGCAGGAGTGTCGAAGGCGCAAAAATACCAAAAGATGCACCAGATGAGACCGATCGTACCAGTCATGTAGAATACGGCCCTCCATCCGAAATGGGCGATGATGAACGCGCACAATGGATAGGTCAATCCGATGCCGATGCTGAACCCTGAATATAGACAACCTAGATGTTAGGAGTAGCTCACCCTACGATCCAGAAGGAAGATGAAACATGATGATGCTTGTCGAATGGCCTTCATCTTGATTTGTTACGATTCATGCGAGGTGATGATCGCTCTTCAGTCGTGGCGTATTTCATCCTGTAAAGCGATTCAAGTAGACTTAGTACGCGGGGACGAGGATGGGATATGATGAAGCTGTTAATGGTGGGACAATGAAACTTCTATGTCTGCAAATAAATATTTAAAACTCGTTCTACCTGCAAAATGAATTATCACTCTTCTTACACAGAGATCGGTATCACAAAAAATATAGTGTACAAAAAAGTTATATATACACGTATAAGTACACGTATAATACAAGTTATTCACGTATATATATATATATATATATATATATATATATATATATATATAATATAAAGTACACAAAATATATGATATACAAAATTATAGAATAGAATTCTATCTTGAAATCTGACAAATCATAAATCGTTTAGAGATTTAAGGACATAAAATATAAGAATACAACAAACATTATTTGAAAAGAATTTCAAGTGCTAACAGAAAAAGAATTTAATTTAGTTTAGCTACGATAGTTTAGTTAATATATAAACAAAAAATATTAAATTATTCACTATATATCATAAATATACGAAACGAAACTTGTGGTCCGTCTCTGCGAAAGTTTGAGTGAGAAAGATGATTAGATTAGATTTATACTGCAGACAGATGTAGTTATTAAAAGACAAAATTTGTACACATAAAAGAAAGACAAGTATATACAATATATATATATATATATATATATGTTCGATGAATCCGGCTGATTCTACCAGCTGGAAGTATACTCGGCCTTTCTCATGCTGTTGAGCGGTCGCTGTTGAGTATACCCCTCGGTCCGGCGAATGCAACCTCGTAGAGATGAACTATTCGGGATCATTAACAAACGATCAATTCTTGCGCAGATCGATGCGCAAACGTTTATAGAGAATTATTCGCATTTTAGCAAGAAATTATTTTCTTGGTCCGGAATTTTGACTGAAACAATAATATGTAGTAGAATAAATTATTTCTCATTCGAACTTCCGTATTCCATTCTGAAAGAAGCGTGTATTAGTATTCACGTGAACACAATTAAAAGAAATGCGACTTTCATTTTACGGAATTATACTTGCGACTGTATATAGGAATATAGGAAAACGCGCATAGCTTTCGCCTAATTTTGGATCGAACGTATCGAAGTTTCACTGTAACACATGAAAATCTCTGTTAGCGGGCATTTTATAACGTACCTTGAAAGGAAGACATGAAGCGTGAACGTTCCACGGGTGGAATCCAATGCCCGATTACGGCGTACATGGCAGGCCACGTAAGTCCCTATTTCAAAGAAGAAGATTAAATAAATAGCAAAAGTCTATCTTTGTTATCCTAATATAAAAATCTAGAGTTAGTTAAAAAATAAAATTCTGAAATGTCCTTTAGCTATCTTTATAATATTCACTAGATATTTATCTCATCTGGATATAACAATAAAATTTGTTACAAATTTTATCCGATGATTAATGACTTACACTTGCAATGCCTTGTATGCTACGCAATGCTATCATGGCCCCATAATGGATCTCCGCAGCAGTTGGCATGAGCAAACTGCAGACGGCAGTGACAGCTTGAGATCCGCCGAATATGGTTTTAGTGCCGAAATACTGAGTAAGAACACCACCGAGCATTTGTGAGAGTATGTAACACCAGTAAAAAGAACTAAGAATAGCCGACTGAGTAGCTGGACTCCATTCAAATTCTCCAGCATCCTGTCCGAAAGAACAATATTCTAGATAGAATAAAAAGTGTTTAATAAATCGCGACAAACTTGAATTGAACGATCAGATAAAAAATGCAATTAAATTTATTTAGTATTTGAAGAAGTATTCATTAGGTATTAAGCATTTCAGTCTCTATCTTATAATGGTCTGATGATCATTTTCTTAAAAATTATAGTCATAAAAAAGATTGCAAAAAATCTATAATTTTTGCAAAAAAAAAATAAGTAATAGATTATTTTTAATAAAATCTCTCCTTTATTTGTTATTATAATCGTAAAATCTTTCAATATCACTAATCTTGCCCGTTTAAATTATTTTCTAGAATAAAAAATGATGAAATTAATAGCAATATTATTTGCTTGATTTTTTGTTTAATTCTTTCTTTTGTTTAATTCTTTTCTTTCTCGGAATTTTCCTTCTTTTTCATATTAAACTTTTTATGTATACTAAATATCTTAAAGAAACTCGACACTCTGGCGACATATATAATACATTTTTACTATATTCATGTTGTACGATAAAGATCTGTTATATTCAAACAGGTGGTCACAATGTCAATCGTACCATTCACTCTATGACAACGTATTCCGACCTCACTATGAATGATCAAAGAATATACAGCATAATATGCATGCATATTAATGCAACTTGATAAAAAAAAATTTGTAAAAAACATTTGACAAAAAGATGATTTTTGTTCGACGCAGATCGGACACTTTTTCCTCGAAGAAATGAATCAGCATTATTTTGAGAATCGTATAAAATGAACGATTGAATAAAAAAAAATTATACGCTGTGTAATATCTCAATATCAGCAAACATACCTCCGGTCTGATTATAGTAGTATTTTCCACATATGACGCATTTGGTATTGTGTAACAGTGAGACGTCACCGCGGTGGTTTCATTGTTCGACGTTGACGGCAGCTTTGCCATGGCCACCATAGCAATATTAATGTCCGTTCTCATCATGAAAGACACAAGGAATCCGGAAAATGAGAGCATGTACAACACGACACGTGCAGGGACCATGTCTGCAACCAGAAAATCTAATTATCAAAAACCGCATATCGACTTGCATTAGAAAGCAAAGCAAAGCAAGTAATAATGACTAATAATTGCAATTTCAAATTTTTTTCAATTTTTATTTCCTTTTTAAATAAAAATGTTTTTTTTAAATCAAGTTAAAATTACCTCCTAATTTTCGTAAACTGCAAGGTGGTTGTTCCTTATACATATCAGATTCCTCATACCTGCAATAAAATTATTGCATGATATGCAATATCGTAAAACACGAAAAAATATTTTTAGAATAACCGTTTTAGAATAAATAGAATCTTTATAATTCTTAATTATTTTTAACTTGACTTCAATATCTATAAGCAACACGAAAAACAACAATGAAAAATGCAATAAAATAATTATAAAAAGCTTCTTTTGAAGCTTTTTATAATTAAGGTATAAATATTAAGCTTATCTATATGAAATAAAAATAAAAAAATAAAAAATTTACATATAGAAATATAAATTATCAATAATATAATTATAGGAAGTATATAAATGAAATCAAAAATGTTCATTTATGTAAATTTTATTTTTCACCTTTGGGATTCTTCCATTTTTTGCATGAAGCTTTCGATATTCAAACAGAGTATAAAAACGAATCTGTTGTATGCGATGAAAAGACAAAGATCACCTTGGATTCTGCAAAACAAAGAGTGTTAATTTGATTTAATAGCCGCCACTTTACAAAATGAAATTTTTAAATAATATAAGGTGTGATATAATATTCAATTTGTATGAATTTTTATTGTTAAATATAAAATGGCATCAATAAGTCAGTAAGATATTTGAAGTATTGCATCGAGGTCATGATTTATGAGAGTAGAATGAAATTCCAACATGAAACTCATATCAACATTCTTGAAGTTCTTTATAGAAGCTCTCATAAAAATTTATTTATAAATATTATTACTATTCCGTATTAATATGAAGAATTTTATTAAGAATAATTGCTTTTGACATATAAATTTTTTGATGAAAGACTTTTTCACTTATTCAATTAATAAATATTAACAAATTGTGATTTTACGAAGGAAAATATATGCAATAATATATGTAATAATTCCCTGCTTAAAGTTTTTCTTTGTATAACAAAATTCTTGCTTTTTTCCTAATACGTGATAAATTTCGTGTTCATTAAATAAAGAAAAATGCAATTGTTTTATAAGCACATTAGATCGCAAGTCAACAAATTATTTGTAGCATTCAATCACTCATATCATAGATTCTTATTTCATATCTCTGATATTTATATAACTATTCCATCTCATGATAAAGCATAATAATTAGAGCGATACATGGAATTATATTTCCGCAAAAAATTGTTAAGACAATCATTTATGCATATTATAAAATTGACTAAGAATATAGTATGGCATTGAACATAAATTATGTAAAAATAATTTTACGTAACAATGAAAATGATTTAACAGAAATTAGAAAACATAGTTTTTAAAAATTTTTGAAGTACAATATATGCATGAAATAATATATGCATTAAAGTTTCGTGTAAATTTTACTTTTATTAATATAAAGTAAGAATTATTATTATTTTAAATAATAAATAATAATCTAAGCCGATATAAAAATGTTTTTAAAATAAAAAGATTATTTTATTTTATTTCGAAACAATGGAATGATTGTAAAAATATATTCTTAATGATTATTATCCAATTAATCAGAATTCTTCCAATATTTGTATATATATATATATATATATATGTGTATAGACTCCAATATATTTTGTCCTTATAATTATTGTATAAAGTATATTATTTAAACAAAATACTGAAAAGAAAGAAGTTATAAAAATGGAAGAATGAAATATTTATTTGTCAGCAAAGTTCGGACAAATAATTACGTAAAATTTGTAACAAAAAAAAAATAATTTTGGAATATTATATTAGAATAAATTCCATATTCTTTCATTATCTAAATTCTCTGTAAATTGGCTACAATCGTATAAGAAAAATTGCAAATCAGGTTTTAAAATGCAACTACAGTGTCTTTTACTTCATATTCAATTTCAAAAAATCAGACAACTTAATAATCGATACGATAACAACTTAATAGTCGAATAATAATACTGGTGGTAATCATGATAATGAATACGCATAAAACTGAAAATACTATATATAATCATGATGTACTAAAAGAAATATTATTCCTATGAGAAAAGAATTGTCTGAATTATTTCGCTCAGTTATATAATTTCTAGTTTGTAAATTATAGAAGTTTCAATGTCAAGTTTAATTTTAATTTTTTCCTCTTAAAAATAAAACATTTTCAAATTATAAAACGATGAGATATTTTTTAAAATTAAAAAGTTAATATATTTTAATTTTTAAATGAAATTATTATATTATTAAGACAATATTTAAAAATATATTGTAATTTTAATATTTAATTTCTTTACTGACTGAAGAATTATCATAAATACAGAAATATTTTCATAGACAATTATTCGCGTTTTAAAATAATGTCCATGTATAATATTTTTACCAAAATATCATATAAATGACATAAATTTGATATTAAAACGATAGTAACTTCAATTCATACAATTCAATAGAGGTGATTCAATAGCGATGAGAAATGAGAAAAATTAGCATTTTCCTTGTATTTCAAGAGTCATGTCGAACGCAGAACGATCGCGATGCACTACACTGATAACACTAGCGAAGTATAACAAATCACATGTCTGTGACGAATGAAAAAAGTTACGTCAGTATCGTCCTCATATCTGTTCGTCACTTACGTGATCAAGGCAGAAAATCACGATTACAACTTTACAAGATTCAACAGGCGTGATTCGAGCGCGTGACAGACGGAAGAAATCGCAATACAATCAACATGATTACAAGCCGAACGAAGTGCCGGCACTGAAAGGCCACCGGACCACGAGGCGTCGACTATCTTCATTGACCCCACCATTGCGCTGGTTTTCGATCGTGTTCTTGGAACAGTATGAGACGAATATATGGAAATGTGGAATATTGTACTTGTTACGAGTAAAACATGATGTGGAGTTTTTCAGCAGTCGATTATTGTACACGGTCGTGTACTAAACTCGAAGTTTAAAATGAATGACTCATCAAGTGCATAAGCAAACTTCATTATTACATAACAAAAAACAAGAGAAGTGACATATACAAATTGAAAGAGTAGTAATAAAAGAAATACGTAACTAGCCAAAGTCAAAAATAATTACAAAAATATTTACTATTTTATTCTATTATTTTATCTATAATGACAAAATTTTTTGGATAGTTTGAATAGTTATTTTAATTATCGTAATGAGAGTATTAGTTGGACTTAATTATTTTTCCTGATAATTTCAATATGACGTAATAACTGAACGTTTACGATAGAAAATCAATAAGCAATTTCTCGAAAAAATCGAAAGATTATTGTATTTTTATTTACAGAGCTCATATATGACAGAAGAATGAAATCTATGAGTTCACATATGATGGAATCTGTAAGATATAACTAAAAAATAATTAATGTACCTATTTAAAAGACTAAGGTTGAAATAACCTTTTAAGATTATATTAAATGGACGTGAGAACTTACGGAAATGTATTATATAAGTAAAATTAATTGAGCGTGTTAACAATAAATTTAACAAGTTATATATTTTTTTAATAAATAAAGTTTTAACAATGACTCGGGAACAAATGTTTCGACAAGAATAATGTTTCAGGAAACACGTCCTTTTTACTGTTATCAATTTTTTCACGAGTCACATGAGTTTACAATTTTATTTTTTCTACACAAATAACATGTGGTGCAGTTGTCAATACAAAGCGTGTTAGACATACTCATCATAAATTATTTCGTATTCGTAGGAACATTCTTAAGCATATTCTGTGATGAAATAAAGACTGATCGATAGTTCGTGTCGTATTATGATGATGAGTCAAATGACATTGTTTAATACATGGTTTTATTTAATCTTACGAGTTTCAAGGATCTTTTAATGAATAAATTATTTTTCCGATATTTGAATTAATAAAATATGTATATATAAAGATATAACATTTTACGCAATAATTCAAATCTATCAGATTAAGGATTTCATAAAGAAACAGCGTTCAATTCATGGTCAGTGGTTCTAACGAAAAAATTTTGTCTCGCAATATTGGGCTTAATTATCTCACACTTGACCTTATTAAGTACACAATCGAGACAGGCTACAATCCAATCAATAAAATTGTTTCTAAGTAACACAAAGCGACGTGCGTCATAACAACTCTTTACGTACATTTATTGAATAAATACGTATGTATAATTACATTTCTAGTTAAAAAACAAAATACTGTGTTTTTTGTAATATTGCTGACCGAATAAACTCTATTATCAGATAACAGAAACATATTTTGTATGTAAAATGATATAAAAATAATAAGCGCTAAGGAAAATTAGAAACAATTATATTCAATATATTTGTTAAAAAAATTGCTTTAATTGCGAGAAAAGATATAAGTTAATGAATTTACGATTTAAAGAATCTCATAAATTATAATTATGTACAATAGAGGCAAAATGATTTTTTTTCAGTTCAGCAATTTTCAGATTACATAATATGATCAAAGAATGTGTCTATTACTGTGAGAATGAATCCACTTAGAGTTCAAGAAAACCTTAGATCTCTATTCGATTTTGATTAACTGCTGTTAAGAAATATGAATGTTTTTTGATATACGGCAACATATACAGCTTCTTAAACTTCTTTGTCATTGATGATTTCATTATAACTTCAATTATGGTATTACATAGTAATTCATATGATAATATCAAAACTCTCCTTAATAAGAAAAGTAGAATATGTATTAGACTATTTCTACTTTCTTTCTAGAAGGTCTTTTCTATGATGTATTAGGATGATTACCATTCGTTTGGTGATTGACTTATGATGATTTAGATAATTCCCAATATTTGGCGATAGAAACTGCAGCTAGTTCCTTCGATGAATATTTTAAAACAAGATGAAAGAAAAGTAATCTTATAAATCATGTTATTCATAATAATCATTTGTTAAAGAAACTGTTATTCTTCTTGTACACTGATATTACATCATTATATCATCTTCAACTTTTTGTTTCCATCCAAAATGAAAAGATTAGACAATTTCATACATCAATTATTACATATAATAGACACAAAAAATGTATATGATTATATAAAAACTTATTCCCGCCGGAGAAAAAATTATTTTGTTTAGTTTCATTATGTTAATGTCAATAATATAACACTAAAATTCTAATCTTAAATTGGAATAAAAGTCTTGGAACACCATGAATGTCACACATCGCCCTCATTCATGTTCAACTTTCGATTATAATGTGCTCAGGGGGTCATGTAACTTTACGTGAAATTTTTCACTTTTCATTTTTTACTTTTCATTTTTCACACCTTGACATTTCACGTGAAACTTTTTACGTACAGCGATTATGTATGTAGCTTGGATGCGTGGAAAGTGAAATCATGAAACATAGTTTCATAGGTTATAGCTAATGAAAATTATTTTATTGATACAGTATTATATACATCTTTTAATAACCAATTGTATATTATAACGTTTAATAACCAATTGTAATGTACTACGTACACTTAATCCTAACGCAGCCCTAATTCATCTTCTCTAATTCCGAAGCATATTTATTAATTCCTTAGATTTCCGCCTTTCCGTCACCAAGGTACATGGCGAAAAAGTTCACGTGAAAAATTTCATATTTTCACGTTTGAGAGAGTTACATGATCCCGTAAAATCGTACATGATCGTAAGTTCACGTGAAACTTTTCACTTTTCACATTTCCGTCCTAGGAGAAAAGTTACATCATCGACTCCCCGAAGTGGCAAGTCGTGAAAGTCATGGAATTAGGTTGATATAGATTGAAAATACAAGGACACCCAACAAAGTATATAGTGTCGGCCATGGTCACTGCTGGTTTGAGGTTAAACACGCCGACTTTCCTGACTTTTAAAAAACACGTGGTCCGTCGCAGCTACTTTCGAAAGCAGTGAGTCACAATGATCGTGCAAATCGAAGGGCAATCGATCGAGACTCACTTTAGCAGCGTTTCTGCATCCAACGGATGTCTCGTGTATCATGGATGTTCTCTTGCGCGGCATTTTCATACACGCGGTGACACACGCGACTATATCAGCGTGTGTTTGCCCACGTCGATGAGTGAAGAGAGCGCGTTGTTAGTTTGCGATAAGAATGAAAATGATAAAGTTGGCGAGGTAGAGCGAGACGAGGCGAGACAAACTAAGGTGCGGCACTGTTGAAACGCTGCACCAGATGCACGGCCGCCGGCGCGATGCAGCCGTTCGTTACGTCTGCTCTTTGATGACGATACTACGATACGTTGTGATCACGTGATTCAAGAATAAGGGATCGATTGAGGTTCAGTGCGCCGACGTACGATGCTGTAACATGCGATGAATATCATCCGGGTGACTCATCTACTAGACCGTATTAACGCCCTTAATATGTGCCATTATCAAATTAATTTTTTATTAATAAATAAGTTTATGAAATTTATGTTTCTAATATCAGCTAAAATGTATTTCATGAAATGTAATCTTTGTAATGACAAAAGTAATTTCGAAAATGAAATGTTTATTTTCTTAATTATAAATAAATTGTCAGTGAAGCTAATCATTTTATCAAAGAAAAAAAATAATATTTAAAATATTTAAACTTAGCAGATCATAAATATAATAAATCATAAATATAAATATCAAAGATAAATAGTCTTTTCAAATTTTGAAAGATCTTCAAGTAAAATTAATCTTTAAAAAAATTTCTTCTCTTCATTCTTAAAAAACTTTTGTCAATTCCTTTAATTAAATTCGAAACTATATATAAAAATGTTGCGATTACGATAATAATTTTTCGAGACTTAAAATTTGTTCATAATAAATTACAATCGTAAAATGTACCATGCAAAATTTCAAATCATTAAAGTTTAATGACATTGTAAACAATTAATTTAATTAATTTAACAATACAAATAGGAAAACATTGATATAAAAAAGAATTAACCAGTAAAATTTAAATTAATTAATTAATTTAATTAATGTAATTTAAATTATTTTATACATTATTTTTAACTAATCTTTTGATTCTCAAAAGTAGGTATTAATAATTAACTATATTAAAAAAGAAAGAAGTGAATGTTTTTTTACTAATAGTGTAGAAATTATCACCACATTTCTTGCATTGAATCTATTTGAATCGATTTTTCTTACATCACATATTATAAATACAACTTCGGACGAATAACTATTTTTTGGCGATGTAAGAAAATTTACGTAAATGTTGTCGAATCCATTAATTAATACCATCATTCATAATATGAATCAAGGAAATTCTTCAATTGAACCGAGAAAAAGATTTTCAAGAAATTCCTTGTCATACGACACCAATTGCAAGTAGGTTATGACAAGACGTCATGGTTATAACGATGAAAATTATGCTTTTTCGATAATTACTCAATATATCATTACATGAAGAATAATAATAATATAATATTTTGCTAGATTGAAAATATTACCTTCATCAACATGCTTATCAAATACTACAACGGGAGATTTAAAGACAAATCCGTCGGAAGATAGCAAGACCATTGGTTATTGTAAATCTTCGACTCGAGTTAATAAAATAATAGTTTTGTGATATATATTATTGATATAAAAAATCAAAGTATTAAATTATATTAATATGCATAAATATTAGGTTTCTAATACGAATTTGTCTGCAAGAAAATTATGGAACAATGCATCCAAAACGACCAGAAATTCCGTTCCTGTAAATGACATAATTGAAGAAGGTTTTGTATTTTAAAATTAGAGTTTTTTTATCTTATAATGATATACGAAATACGGATTAGATAGAAAGACAGAAGTTAATATTTAGTTAATATTTAGAAGTTAATATTTAAATACACAAAATCTTTTAACATTTTTAAAGAAATTATTGAGAAATAAATCGCAATTTCCATTTCTTATTTGAACTGTATTGTATTGATTATGTGTTTTACTCTGTTTTACTGCACTGTACTGATTTCAGAAAGCGAGCTTATTAGCATGTTGACAAAACAATTGCATCTGGCTGAGTCACAAATGCGAAAAATGCAATCCGTTTTGACGAAAGCTGAAGAAGGTTTGAAAACCAAAGATCAGGAAATTGGACGCTTAAAGCGGAAGGTTCTCTGTACGCTTTTTTAATCTAGGAATGTAGTATTGTCTTCTAAGTTTTTACTCAATTTGGCAAAAAGCTAGCCTTTAATTCATATTTGTATATTTATTAAATAATATAAAATAATATCAAATTTCTTTTTTTGAACATTCTATTATATTTATTTTTGTTTTTGTATTTTTAAATCTGTGAATTATTCTTCAATATAATTTTTTTCCCCTTTTCCGAACGATATATCACGTTATTTTTGAATAGATTAAAGAATGGGAAACCAAGTACAAAAATCAGGAACTATTACGAAAGAAAGAGCAACGAAGTCAGGCAAATAATTCTGAATATTTCTATCAACGGTGTTTAACACTAGAACACAAGATTAGCGAAATGGAGGTTTAAATTTACATTTTAAATATGTTTACTTGCCATATATAAAATATAAATAGTAATTAACGATTGTATGTTTAAAAATTGCAGAAGTTTTTAGCTGATTACGGATTAATATGGGTAGGTGATCCAAAAAATGCGACAAACGCAGATGGTGGTAACAAGTAATTATAATAAAGTTCTGTTATTAATTAAAGCAGAAGTAATTGATTTAATAATTAGTAATAATTCCGTTGTAGTAATTATATCGACATCTGTTATAAACAATTAGTTGCAAATATTGACCAGTTGAATCTAGCTGCAGGAAAGGGCGAAGTTCACATTCACCATAATGAGAAAGGAGGTGGAGCAACTTTCAAAGTAATCTTCTAGTTTTGCAATGTGATCATGCAAATGTACAGAATACAGAATATTACTTGCAAAATTGATATAAAATATTCCATAATTAGCGACACATTTTTCATGGACAGGTAGAGCAAGTTATAGAATGAATAGAAAAATTCTCTACTTCCGATTTTTGCAATAATTAATAAGATATTAATTTAAAGATTTGCAAATAAGCGTGCATTCGCGCGAAGGAATAGTTCAGCATTACATACGCTTATGGTTGCTAGGCGCGTGACGAGGTATTTGGAAGTGCTTTATCATTTGTGGCTCACATATCCAAACACTTCAACACATTCCTAGTAAGCGTGAGCGCGCGTAATGCATTCGTCCAGCGCCAAACTATGCACAATTCGTGCTTCGTGATTTGTAATTGTGTTCTTAGACTCATGAAAAAAGCAGATTCATCGAATTTCCATTCGTCGTTTATCATTTGCGCTGATTCACTAGTGGAGTGGTTTTTTAACAAAATAAAAGAATGCAATTTATCATAAGTTGATTTGCGTATATATTATATAGTTACACTATGCACTAATAAAATTTATGTTTATTTATGTATCTTCATGGCTCACATTGAGACTGCCGATAAATTATGAATTATAAACGAATCATAAATCACATTAATGACAAATGACAAATAACAAACAGTGTGGAAGATTCATATTCGCAAATGATAAGTCTTATACGAATGGCGAATTGCAAATCATGAAGCACACACGAATCATGCATAATTTAGCGCTAGTTTAATGATAAATTGTCTCTTCGCGCAAATGCATGTTTCATTCGCAAATCTTTATAAATTAATATATCTTATAAATTATTATAAAAATCGCAAAATAATATAGAATTTCTTTATTCAGTATCTAATCTGCTCTTTATTTGTTCATGAAAGATATGTTGCTAATTGTATCGCTTATTATATACTTACATTTGATTTATTTTTAACATTTTTACTTTACAAATAAATATCTCAAAAATAAGTCAAAAGTAAATATCTATTAATTATTTGTTGTATAAAGTAATAATTTGTTGTTGTAAATAATATATTTGATTATTATTAGTGATTACTCATATTGCTAATTAATATTTTATATTTAATATTTTCTTTATGAATTTTAATTGAAGTCTCCTTCGTGTATGACATTGAAATTTTATAAAAACGGTATGAGCATCAATGGAGGAACATTACGATCATATGACAATCCAACTACAATTTCATTTATCCGTGATATTCTGGATGGATATTTTCCATCAGAATTGCAACAAGAATATCCTGATGGAGTGCCTTTCATGGTAAATGTCTATCTAAAAAATAGAATTTTAGAATATCATGTTTTCTATTTTTCTATTTTTACTTTCTCTGGATTTTTTATAATCAATATGAAATTAATTAATAAAAGTAACTGTAATTGTTATTTTTCTTTACAATTAGAATTTTTATTTATTCTTGTAGATAGAAGATCGTAGAACAGAACTGTATGTAGATGATTCTTCTAGTTTTCCTGGTCAAGGATATCGATTGAGAAAACAATCTCCAGTAGATAATTTATTATCGACAAGCTCGCACAAATCAAATAATATTTATCAAAAATCTTCTCGTAGCTCTTCGCTGAAAGATAACAGTTACGAGAACATCCCGCTTTTATCACTTCCAAACCGGTATTATCACTATTTAATTAGAATATATATATGTATATATATATATATATATATATATATATATATATAT